GCAGCAAATTGGACAAGACAAGGGGCAATTTCAAATTCCCAGGCCCCGTTACTATGCCAAAACTGAAACGGTTCCTTGTGCACAAGTGCCAGCAGGCAAGCGAACTCTCGGAAAGGGAGCGCGGCATGGTCAAGGCATTGAGACAGAAGATTGGCATTGCCAGACCAGAGAAGTTGGAGGATGAAGTTGTCATGGACATTGGAGCTACGATGCAATTTGCGAACGTCATGAATGGAGTCAGTCCATGCTTGACAAAAACGAAGCTCAATTGTCAAAGATAAGTTTTTTTTTGCTGATGGATGTTTGATCTATGTTGATTCTAGGGGCCATGGTTGAATAATTTGAGATTTTGTGTAGTTCGTCAGTCTTGTTTGATTTGCTAAGGAGAAGCGCGTCTGGGGGCTACTACCTCTACACATCCCAAAGGTTTATGAACGTCTACGAGATTGGTGGTCTTCAGGGATGGCCAAAAAGTTGGGTTGACCAGCTACTGGAGGTCCAGCCCAAGTCGAAAGTTGGAGCCGGATTTGGAGATGCAATGAGTTTGAACATACTCATGAGGATTTTGCCAAGGGCATGTCATGCAGCAGGTTTGGTACCACCTTGCGCAGATGTCTGGGAAAGCATTCCTGAGAGAGGCCTGGGCCTGTTGCCTGGCTCGCTATATGAAAGGGAGAATCCGATGGACCCCAGATTGCAGCCCATATGGGTTTGATTTGGTAGCTGTCTTCATATCGTTGACATCTTGGCAGTGACAACGGCGGCGATGGAAAAAATGGCAGAAAGAAATTGGATGGGACGGGTCATTTTGAACCGAACATCATTGGGCATGTTCAAAGTTCGAAGCTTTGTTGGATGACATGTGTTGGTCACTGTTGCAGCTTAGCAGTCTCTTGGAACTTGCAGGTTTTATCGGCTCATTCAAGCACAACTGGATTTCGCAGAGTTAGAGCCATGGATTCACAGAAGATTCATGATGATCTTGAGTTCTTGGGGTGCGAGAAGATTTGCCTCTCATGCTGGTTGAACTGCATTGGCTGGTGGATAGCGGATGATGAGAAACCTGGAAAACTACTTAAATTGTTTATCTTCGTTCGCAAAAGTTTTGCTTGTTTTTCTGGAAGCTATCAGCGTTACTATGTATAGTTGTGGAAACATTTGATCATTTGATTCAATTCATTTTAGTGGTTCTGAGGAAGACAATGCGTGCACTCGCCTGCATCAGCAAGGATTGTTTGTGCGACGAAAGAAGCATTGCAGAGATCGAGAAGCTGGAGATCGAGAAGCTGGAGAAGAAGAACTCGTCTGAGATGAAGAACCGCTGAGATCATAACTTTTGAATCCTTGGAAGACTAAGATATCTTTCCAGTACAGTACCATTAGACAACAGGTCCATGGGGTATCACCAATCGCGGCCTGCAAGCATAGAAAAAACTGCAGCTCGTCGTGCGCACCTGTCATGCACTTGTAAGTCGCAATACCTTGGTTCAATGGGGCCAGGCCCGGCTAAGCCCGACTACTGGTCGGGCTTGGCTAGGCACTGGTGGATCATAGTTTTTGAACGTTTGGAACTCGCTTGAAACTTTGTCGGGACTGCTGTGTGGTGAGTGGTAAGTGACATGCTGGTCTTGCGGGTACAACTGGTTTCTTCGCTTGCAGCTGTTCCGGGTTTACTCATGCTTACTCGACTGACCTCAGTTCGCTCAGTTCCGTTCCTCTGCTGATGCAGCCATGCCAAATGACAATGAAGCGCTGTCAGCAGCAGGCTCAACAGTATTATTCAGGGAGTGGCGTGTATCCCCAAATATCCTCAAGATGTCTAACAATAAAATGAACGCAGTCACACTGAAACCACAAAGCAATAAGTCAGATGATTCCTCTTTAAGTTACTATTGTTTGTTTTGTAAATTTGCACACGACGACTGTTGGGATTTCCTGGTAGGGAGAAAACCCCAGTTGGATCAATCATTATCTTGTTACTTGTGCTTTTCTAGGACGACCCGTACTTGTTTCAATTCACCCGATTCGCCCTTATGGCAGGACGCTCACTGACTGATATCTACTGAGACGTTGGCCCACACTGACGGGATTATTTTAGCGCACGGCCACGGATGCCAAGTTGAATCTTTATTCCCGACCTCAACCTCAACCTCAAACTATGATTTCTTACATCCGGCTGATTCAACTTGCGCAGCTTAATTTCGAGCCCGTCTTTGCCTGGGTCCATTCACTGCAATTTCTTTATCGGAAGTTTGTTTGTCGTAACTCTATGCGGGTGTTTTTATTAGAACCATTGGCTGGGGTTTGGAAAGTTATGTGTCCACGACAATCACCATAGGAAAACCAGGAAACTTGAATGGGGAGGGCAATTTTGTCCAGAAAATTCCAGGTCGGTGGACACACCGACGCGCCGCAATGGCTGAATTGACACATTGACCTGACAGCTGGCTAACCTGACTGAGCCTAAGGGAGTGTCCTAGTGTCCGCTAAAATCAACCTTTGGATCTTGCTTTAAGTTGGTTATCTACTGTTATTTGTGTATATTATATATGACAAAAAATATGTTTGATATAATATACATATGTAATTTATATAATATATATATATTATTATAGACGACGTTTTATTGTTGAAGCTTTAGCTCCTCTCCCACGCACGACAATTCTTGAAAAATACTTTGTAAATTTCAAAACGATTTTTTAATCTGCTTACTCACATCATCACAGCTTTATTAAAAGGCAAGCAACAAATAAAAACAAAAAATAAAAATAATGACAATTAGATTGACTGAAGAATCTGGAATCAATTGAACAATTTGTGTTTTTACACAGCTGCTGCTACTCAGTGAAACAAAACGACTTGACAAAGGAAAAATACGGCTGATAACCCTGAAACATCTTTAACCGCTGATTTAAACAATATCCCATGTATCTTTTTCTGCCTGAGGGAGGCCACAGGGATCAGGGAGGCCAAGGGCAACCAGGGCAACCAATATACAGAGGCAAGAATTGTGCAGCGCTTCAGAAACTATGGCAGCCTGCAGAAACCCATATCGCCCAGTTGGAACTCTCGATGGTGCTCTGCGCTTTGGTCGAAAGGCCTGACCTGTTTCGAAATCGACACGGCCTCTGGTTTTTGGACAATGTCGCCGCCGTCATGACGCTAGTGAGAGGACGTTCTAGCAATGCCGACTTAGCAAAGCTAGGTCATTTGATCCACTTAGCTCTGTTTGCACTGCGAGCCCAGGGTTACTGGGAGTACGTCCAGAGCAAGAGCAACTGGGCTGATGACATCAGTCGACTTGGAGTCGACGACCCGTGGTGGCGATGCCATGGATTCGAATTTTATGCGTCGTATCTCCCTACCATCTTTTTCCAGCTGCCTTTTGTTGCTGTCATTCTCACCTTTGAATTCCTTTAGTGCTTTGGGAAGTTTAGTGCATTGGGTGATACCTGCAAGAGCAGGTTCCAACCTGGAATCCCAGGTAGCTGACCAGTGGCGAGACTGGTCTGAGGCTATGTACATGTCACACAGTGACGGCCCAAAGCAAACCTGAGGATTGCAGGTGACATTGACTTAACATAGGCTTGGCTGCGAAAAAGGAAGCTGCGAGAGCGCAACCAGTATGAGTTTCATATGGCACTTTGAGATGTACCCATGCATTGAGTTTGGCAGGCTTGGGTGTGCATGTATCATCTTTAAGTGCTCCAATGAATGCTATCATTTTGGCTCAAGTAAACTTGAACCAAAATAGCATTCATTGCTTTTTCTTTCCCCGCCCTCCCAACCCTAAGAGCCGACCTCCCGTGGAGAAGTCCGCCTATAGGTTAGGGGAGCCTGTTAGACAGGCGAGTATATAGCCTCTATTGGGGACCCTCTCTTGGGGTGACCAAGAGAGGTTTACCCTCCCTTAAGTCAAGGGATGGGTGATACCTGCAAGAGCAGGTTCCAACCTGGAATCCCAGGTAGCTGACCAGTGGCGAGACTGGTCTGAGGCTATGTACATGTCACACAGAGACGGCCCAAAGCAAACCTGAGGATTGCAGGTGACATTGACTTAACATAGGCTTGGCTGCGAAAAAGGAAGCTGCGAGAGCGCGACTAGTATGAGTTTCATATGGCACTTTGAGATGTATATATATATATATATATATATACCTGGTGCTTCAAAGGCCGTGCTAGGCGGGTGCTTTGCCTAAGCACCTCAAAAGTAGGTAACGGCCATCCCAAGTGTAACGGCCATCCCAAGTCAATAGTGGCATAAATATTCTCAGCCAGGATCCTGGATTTGCCGTTCCCGCAGGCATTTTGCCATGTATAGACCGAAATCCATGTGCATCTTGAAGATTATGATAGCTTCTGATATCATCTCCAAGATGGAAACATAGATCCTGAAACTGGAATCATGATATAGTAAGATAGATTGATTGATTTCTATCTCTATCTCTCTCTCTCTCAAATATAAGGGTTCCTTTAAACAATTTTTTCATCTATGTCATTTAGAAACATCTAGTATAATCTCTTTTCATCATGTGAAGATGGAACACATTAAGCCATCTTCCACCCGAACCGTCCTGATATAATGTGCTACAGTGTTACCTAATCCCATGTGTCAAGATTGAAACTCCCATTTGATTGCCTCACTCCAGCCCACCACCTCGTTTTTCCACTGTCGATGCCCCGTGCACGGGGTGGGTCAGCCCGGACCCGGCTTGCTTCCAGCGGCCCCTGACTCAGGCCTGGGATCGTTTTGCTATTTCGATTAAACTTATATTTTGTCAATATTTGTTATCTCGATCTCTGGCTTTCTTAGGCATCAATGGGCGGCTCACAGGTTCGCCCTGCCTTACCCTGCTTTGGTGTGGGATCAGTGCTGATGATTTTGTGTTGTGCCCAATCTGATCGTCCATGATTGAAACTTGAGGTTGGAACATCCAGTAACCATTTGGGCTCCTTTTCGTTTTTGGGGTATAATGCCCTCGCCACCCCGTGCCAATGTCATGGCCTTGCTCAAGGATGGGAACTGGAGGTGGTGGTCAAAGGATTTGTTATCCAATTATCCAGTACTTTGCAACTACCTAGTTCGGAATCCACTGCAGAACATTCAACTTAGCGGTCGTTTGGGGGTTCAATTGCAGGACTTCTACTTGGGAAAGGTCCGGGATGAGAACTACATGAAAACTCGTTGGCGGGAGTTGGCCAAAAGAAAATGTTTACCTGAGAAGAAACTTGAGCAGCGTTTGAAGAGTCAGCAGGCCGGTCCCATCGGGAAACTCATCTCAGCAATATCTTCAGAACAGTAGCATTGAACGTTAGTCCCAGAAATATCTAGCTGACATATTTTGATTTCCACCTGCCGCTCTAGGCACCATGTGATTTCTTTTTCATCAACTTGGACACCTCGTTCAACAAGGAAGATGACAGCAAAGCGGTCACTGTGGAAATGGTGGTGCCTGCATGTTTCAAAAGATCCGGAAGGTGTAAATCAATAAATCATGCGATGATGGGCGAGCATAGCTTTGAGCTCCCTATATCCCAGGGTCACGAATGATTTTTCAGCTTGGCTCCCAGGTTGAGGATGACCACAACTACGAGTTTTTCTTGGAGTGGCTACCCCTCTTTGCAGCGGATTTACCGTGGCATTCAGAGATGAAGGCTATACAATATCGGGAATCTAATAAATCTATTATGCATGACTTATATTATGCCATCTTGGTTGATACACATTTTTTTTTCCCATCCATTCGTCTATCTACTCATATGGTGACCCTGGTTGCTCGCCCGTGCCTGCAGGCCACACTCATGGAGATTCACTCGGCGGAGACACCTCTGTGCCGGCCCAAGATGAAGTCGGATTTGGAGGACACTATGGGTTGGACTTGTTCAAGTGCAACATATCGATAAAATGAGCTGTTCTGGGATTATTGATTACATGTTTGCAGGACTGGGCCTCAAATGAAGCTCAATCCCAAAAGGACCTCCAAAGTGCCATCTTGTACTTGGCAAGAAGGAATGAACATGCAAGGCTTGCCGTATATATCTACTCATAAAGTGCCTGTGTGAAATTGATGGTGTATTTCATATCTACTATCAGGGCTTAGTTTTGACTTTTTGGCAGGCCAGGGCATCAAAAGCTGGAGGATCTGAAGTTCATTGTCCGCGAATTGCGTGGCCATCTGTGGAACAAAGGCGGGTAAACAAAGAGTTTTTTGATTTTTGAGACTATGGGACTTATATGTTTATATATATACGATCTTATGATAGCAGCCTCCTTTTTCAATATACAAATGTCATTGAAAAATATGTTATATTGAAACCTGTTTTTGATGATATTGAGAGTGATCTGACAGGAAAAACGAAAAGCAGTGACGAGGTCAAAAGTGCACAGAGCCAAGATGGGCTTGCAGGGTTTTCTGTTAGCAAAGGAGCTAGAAGAAGAGGCTGAGGCAAAACAATGTGAAAAGCCCAGAAACCCAGAGCCCCGTGAAAGTGAGAAGCTGAACCCATCTGCAGTTGAAGAGCCGGAGCAAAAACACCCGGAACACAACTAAACTCCAGAGATTTGCCCACCGACGTCAAAACCAGAGATGCCCTTTGGAGATGAGAAGCCGCAGGCAGAACAGTCTCAAAAACACAGTGGTGAGCCCAGCGCACATGAGCAGTCAAAACAAGACCCTGAAGAAACATACACCAAAGCACCGGAGCCCAGTGCAAATAGGGAAGTACAGCCAGAGGAAAAGCGTCAAGAAAACACCAAAGCACTGGAACCCTGTGTAGATGAGAAACCGCAGCCAGCAGAGCTTGAAGCACAACATGACAAGCCTGGAGAAGCACATGGTGAAAACCCCGCAACACCAAAACATAGTAAAGACATCGTTGAGATTCAGGATGATAGCCAACAGCATGAGGTGTTTCAAGACAGCCAAACCCCACCTGAGTGGAAAGAGGATGCGGCATTCGCCAAGTCAATGGATGAAATAAAAGAGATTGCAGATCCCAAACCAGATTCCAGCGCCACAGCAGAAGATGCCCAGCCCGTGACTCCTTGCAAACACTTGTTGAGTGAACTTGAAAGGGAGGAGGAGAGAGAGGATTTGAAGTCAGATGAGGAAGACTTGGCAAAGCGCCAAGCTTTCAAGGATTGAATTTGTACATATTTTCACATATGATTTCAGATCAACACAAATTTTGAAATTTGACTAGTATCTCAAATCCGTTGGTTAAACTAGAAAAAATTGTCCAGTCTGATCGTTGCAGGACCGGGAGCCCCTCTTCGATTTGGAGAACCTTCCAGATCTTACAGAACAACATTTCGAGGAGATTCCCGAGTTGAAAGGTATCAAAGATGAAAAGGCAAAACAAGTAATCTCGAACTTGATTTTGCAGGCAGGGTATCAAAATAATTTCGTTTTTGAACATAGCGAATCGGAACAGATTGTGCATGAATGCTGTATATGCTCGATGCATGTTCTCGTTGCAGTTGCAAAAAGATACACGAAGAGATATGAATGCAGAGAAGAGAGAAGCCCAGAAAGAACTTGATGACAAGAGGGCAAAGAAAGAGAAACAAATCCTTGGGAGAGGAAGGGGGAAAGGTCGTGGCAGAGGCCGGGGAAAGAAGGTCGAAGAAGAAGGCATTGAGGAAAAAGAACCAGGAAAGTGTACTGACGAAGCTGCTACTTCTGTGGCGGAAGCTGGCTTGCAGAAACTGCGCGCGTCATGGCTCGAGGAGGCTGGAAGGGGGAAATTTAGAAATGGATGATGGTGTGCGGTGTGGGGTGGTGTTTTACATAATAATACATGTAGAAATTATGCACATATAAACTCTATAATATAAATTTGACATGCTTCCCCACGCGCACAGGATATCTCCTCGGACTCCGATGAAGAGGCCCCTCGCCCGAAGAGCAAGGTGTGCAATGCCATGTATTTATTCAAAATTACGTGGGATAAAAATTAATTTCGATATGATCACATCATAATGTGCTTTTTTTTGCCAGGCGAAGGCAAAGGCAAAAAGTAAGGCGAAAGCGAACGCGAAGGACACATATGGCTCTTTCAATCTAATTTTTTTCCTTCAGGGAACCAAATCAAATTTATTAATTCAACCATCCTGCCAGGAGCCCAAAGCAAAGCCTGGTCCAAAGCCAAGCCAGGCATCATCTCTTTTACATGAGGCATGTGCAATATATCAGGAGGGTTATCCCATATTATCCCCAAAGTATCGTGTTAAATTACGATTTAAGCCGGTATGCCCCTAATAAGCGGGTTGATATTACCCATTCAAACTGTTGGAGGCCAAGCAAAGGAAGAGTGCAAGCAAAAGTGCCAAGGCTGGAGAGGCCGGCATGTACACCAAAAGCGATCAAACTATGCAGTATGTAAACCTGCAATCTGGGTTTTGATGTTCAGGGCCCAATGACTACTGAAGAAAAAGAACCTCAGGAGGATTGTTTTTTGAATATCGATTCAATGTCCCAAGGGAATAACTATAATTGATGCTGCAGGACATGTCAGCACCGGCAACGGAAGACTCGAGAAGGCCCAAGGCCAGTCTCTGTTTGTCCGTGTGTGTGGGTAGCATAAGACACCTTAATCATCATCATCATTTGTGGAGGACGCAGCAACTCCACCGAGTGCAGCCAGTCCGGAGGAGGCCCAAAAAATATAGATCAATTGATATAATCGAACTTTGAAAGTTACCATATTCAGATATTTTCCCTCCATAAATGCTCCCTCCATAACCATCGGCGCTGGTTCTTACAGGCACGTCCGAAGCGCAGAAGGGCTCAGCGTGCAGATCCAAAGGTGCCTGGCTAGTAGTGATACTGGTGATGCCAATTCATGGGAATGGGATCTATGGTGTTTATTTTCGGTACTGCAATGACCTGATCGATTGATTTGTTTTCTGGCTTCACCACCAATTTCAGGACAAGACAGTTCCCAGTCCTGATGATGATGATTTGGAACCAAAAAATGCTTCTGCCTTAGATTTTAGAACTGTTCTGCAAATTATTTTTTGGGAGCCATACATGCGGCGTATGAGGTCCCAAGCGAAAGCGTGGGAAGACCCCGGATGGAGAGGCCAGGATAATTATTAACCAATAAAGCTTGTTGTGCTTTAGGTAGATCGATCAATACAATCATCACCAACTTCAAGATACAGATATATCAAGATGAAATACCATGTGCCACACCTCACCTCTTGGAAGCATTTCCATACGAAAACATGGCCATGCAGGAGGAAAACGGTGCCAAGTTGCCCAAGCAGGGGGTGCTTGACTCAGATTTAGTCATTTAGTTGTCAAACTGATTTCACGAACAAGAGACCTGTCCCAGGCTGCAGCCAAGAATCTTTCGCAGGACTTATTTTTTTAATCCCTGAAATTCATTTGATCTCTCTTTTCCACTTTCACATTGATCGTGTATATATGTCACAGTTTTTGAACAAATGTGTAGGAACGCAAAGCTGATCAGCTCCTTCTGGTTCGTCAAGCTGCTGCCGGTTCTTTCCCAGAACTCATGCCCCCGGACGACATTGATAACCGGGTGCCAGGGTCTCAGCATCAAATGCTTTGACAATCAAATTATATAGTTGGTTTGGTTGGATTACCGCGGTGGTTCCCAAATTGGTGTGCCCCAAATCTTTGCACAAATTCACCATTATTTAATATGAGCTGTAATGCCCCATGGTCAAGCGTTTGTATCCACCGACTGTTCCTTGCTCAGGACTTGGGTTGTCAGCGCTCCTGAGATCATTCGCAAGAAGCTGAAGAAGGAGGACTCTCTGTGCAAATTGGGGGTGATCTTGCGTGGCCAAGTTTATGTCTATCGGGCTGATGCTTCCCGTGTGGACGCTGTGAACGAAACTTACATTGCACGCGGGTTCGGGTACACGCGCGCACCCTGAAAAGCGTCAAAGCCGCAAAGCCGCCATGGAACGCTCAAGCCGCAAAGCCGCAAAGCCGCCATGGAACGCGCAAGCCGCAAAGCCGCAAAGCCGCAAAGCTGCCATGGAACGCGCAAGCCGCAAAGCCGCAAAGCGGCAAAGCCGCAAAGCCGCAAAGCCGCCAAGCCGCCAAGCCGCCAAGCCGCCGAGCCGCAAGCTCTGCGACTCATGCGCCGCCTCCTGCGTTCATCGCCGCTGCGTTGCCACCGCCATGGATCGCTGAAGCCGCAAAGCCGCAAAGCCGCAAAGCCGCAACGCCGCAAAGCCGCAAAGCCGCAAGCTCTGAGACGCAGCCGCCGTCTCCTGTGTTCATCGCCGCTGTGTTGCCAGAGCGTCAAGAAGCGTCAAAGAGCCGCAAAGCGCCAAGGCGTCGAAGCACCACGAAGCGTCAAAGCGGCAAAGCTTCAAGAAGCGCCAAAGCGTCAAGAAGCGTCAAAGCTTCAAGAAGCGGCACAGCGCCGAAGCGTCAAAGAGCCGCCAACGAAAGGCTGGCTGTGCTTAGAAGGGGACGGGCTTGCTTACGGAAAGAGGTCTGCAACCAAAGGCTGGCTGTGTTTAGAAGGGGACGGGCTTGCATATTGCGAGACAATTCGTAGCGAATTCCGAAGAACAATGGCAGATGTTATGGCAACCCCCAAAAGATTGAAACGTAGCATTCGACTAAACGAATGGCAATTTTCCTTCCTATTTGGTTGAAAGATATTATCTACAATGTCCCCCCCGGTGTGATAGACAGTCCCGGCCTATGCGACACAGACCTTGCAAAAACAACTTTAAACAAGAACAAGAACAAGAACAGCAACAACAACCACAACCACAACAACCACAACCACAACAACCACAACCACAACCACAACCACAGCCACAACCACAACCACAACCACAACCAACAACAACAACAACAACAACAGCAACAACAACAACAGCAACAACAACAACAGCAGCAACAGCAACAACAAGAACAACAAGAAGAAGAAGAAGAAACAGAAGAAGGAGAAGAGGAATAAAAAGAACAAGACAAAGAACAAGAACGAATAGAACAAGGAGATCCCGGAGAACAATGAGAACAAGATGAAGAACAAGAACAAGAACTACAACCAGAACAAAAACAAGAAACAGAACAAGATCAAGAACAAGAAGAAGAACACAACCACAAGAACAAATCTAAGAACAAGAACCACAACACCAACAACAAGAAGTCCTTAACTTTCGATCATCCTTGATGCTACGCTGCAAGATCTTGCCCTTGATTTTCGAACAACCTTGATGCTACGCTGTCAGATCACAGCCTGATCTTGCAATCATCTGGGATGCTACCGTGCAAACATTTTGTCCTTAACTTGCAAATCTTTGTTGCTACAAAGTAAGATCTTGTCCTTAGCCTTCAAGCATGTTGGATGCTACGCTCCAAGATTCTGTCTGTCTTGTCCCTAACCCTCAAACATGTTGGATGATACGCTGTAAGTTCTTGTCCTTAACGGACAAGAACCAGAACAAAAACAAAAACCACAACCACAAGAACAATATCAAGAGCAATAACCACAACATCAACAACAGTAACAACAACAACAACAAAAACAACAACAACAACAAGAACAAAAACAAGAACAAAAACAATAGCAATAACAGGAACAAAAACAATAACAATAACGAGAACAAGAACAAGAACAACAACAACAACAGCAACAACAACAACAACAACAATCAGAATAACAAGAACAAGAAGTGCTAATAAAAAACAAGAGCACAAACAACAATAACAATTTTAATAACAAGAACAAAAACGAAAACCAGAACAAGAGAAATAATAGCAAGTTCTTGGAAGATCTGGATGCTACCCAAGAAGATCTTGTACTGAACTTTCAATCATCTTGTATGATTTTGGTTGCTATGGAGTAAGACTTTATCCTTTACATTCAATCATCTTGAGTGTTACGGTGTAAGATCGTGCCCTTGACATTCAATCATCTTGGACGCTGCGCTCGAAGCGCTTGTCCTTAACTTTGAACATCTTGGATGATATGCTCTAAAATCTTGTCCTTGAATTACAAACATCTTGGATGCTTCCCTGTAAGATCTTACCCTTAATTTTCAATCACCTTTGATGCTACGGTGTAAGATCGTGCCCTGAACTTTCAATCCTCTTGAATGCTACTGTGTAAGCCTTGTCCTTAACTTGCAAACATTTTGGATGATACGCTGTAAGGGGGTGTTGGATGGTACGCTGTAAGCTGTTGTCCTTAGCCTTCAAACATCTTGGATGCAAGCATGTCACGAAAGGTAGCCTAGGCTACCTGAGTTCTATGTACTTTAGTACTAGTTTAGTACTGGGGGAGGTGGGTGCTCCTTTCCCGGAAATTGAGAGCCGAGAGTCACGAACGGAGACTTAGGGGGGGGGGGCCCCCCCCCCATTCGATTCCCCCCTGGTCCGCATCTCTTTCTTTCTTTTTCTCTGACTATGTACTTACCTCCTTATCCATCTATCTATCCATGTATCTATCTATTTAGTTGCCTATCTATGTATCTATTTATCTATCTATCCTTCTATGTATCTATCTATCTACCTATCGATCTATCTATCTATCTATCTTTTTATCGATCTATTTAGCTATCGATCTATCTATTTATCGATCGATGCTTCTATCTGTCTATCTATCTATCTATCCATCTATTTGTTTATTTATCTATCTATCTATCTATCTATCTATCTATCTATCTATCTATCTATATCCTTCTATCTCTCTATCTATCTATCTATCTATCCATCTATCTATATATATATATATCTATATATCTATTTATCTATCTATCTATCTCTCTATCTATATATCTATCATACATACATACATACATACATGCATGCATGCATGCATGCATGCATGCATACATACATACACACAGACATACGCACATACATACATACATACATACATACATACATACATACATACATACAGACATACACACATACACACATACGCAGATACGCACATACATACATACATACATACAGACATACATGATGTAACATAACATAACATTATATGACTTAGTGTGAAAAAACATTACATCACATACATACATACATACATACATACATACATACAGACATGCATGATGTAACATAACAGAACATTACACGACTTAATGTGACATAACATTACATCACATTACATAACATTACATTCATACATACATACATACAGACAGACAGACAGACAGACATATTTACAAACATACATGGATACAAAGGAGTTATCTGGTTAGTGGCCATAGTCAACTGGCCCCATGGTCTGCAACATACACCTAGAATCCTTTCTCGGGCATTGTAGAAGGAAAAAAAAAATAGGACCGAGTTTTTCTACTCCGCTCACAAACTTGGTCGTAATTCTGTGGGGCATTTGTTGGCTCTGAATTCGTCACAGCCAAGCAAGAAAGCAACACTGGACACGTCATACCACTTATAATGTTTCATAGCTCTGGTTTACTAAGTCATCCAAATGGACTGTCGTCTATGTACTTGGCTTACACCCCCAGTTACCCCAGACTGGCTCCATTTCATTTCAAATTGGCCATTTCATTGCAAACTGGCTCCATTCCATGGATGAAATTTCCCTTTCTCATGGGAATCCACGGCAAAACAACCCTGTGGATGAAATGTCTCCTTTTCACCCGCCTGCGCTTATGCCCGCCGGGCATAAGAACAGGCAGGCCCTTCATCGAACAGGTTTTGGGCCTAAAATGATGAAAAAAACAGCCTTTACCCTGCCAAACTTGCGCTGCCAAAGCCCCGCCTGCGCTTACGCCCGGCGGGCATAAGAACAGGCAGGCACCCAGGCCTGGACCAGGCCCTTGCAAGATGATTCCAAGATATGTAGGCCCAACATAGCTGACATGGACGTACTTGGGGCCAGCAAGTCAAAAGCCAGTACTAGTTTAGTACTGGGGGAGGTGGGTGGTCCTTTCCCGGAAATTGAGAGCCGAGAGTCACGAACGGAGACTTGGGGGGGGGGGCCCGTACGTTCGACACTTGGAGGCTATATCGCAAGCCAAGAGGCTATGGATCAATACTAATCAAAAGGCAGCGAAGCAAACCACAGGCGCAAAATGGACGCAACTGATTCCGCATGCTTCAGGCTTCAGAACATATATAATATAGGCTTCCCAGAAAGATATGCCGATGGAGCCGCGGAGCCGATGAGGCCGATGAGGCCGATGAGGCCGATGGAGCCGATGGAGCCGATGAGGCCGATGAGGCCGATGGAGCCGATGAGGCCGATGCAGCCGATGAGGCCGATGAGGCCGAGACCGCGATGAGGCCGATGAGGCCGATGAGGCCGATGAGGCCGATGACGCCGACGAGGCCGATGAGGCCGATGAGGCCGATGAGGCCGATGAGACCGATGAGGCCGATGGAGCCGCTGGAGCCGATGAGGCTGCTGGAGCCGATGAGGCCGATGAGGCCGATGGAGCCGATGAGGCCGATGAGGCCGATGAGGCCGATGAGGCCGATGGAGCCGATGAGGCCGATGAGGCCGATGGAGCCGATGAGGCCGATGAGGCCGATGGAGCCGATGAGGCCGATGGAGCCGATGAGGCCGATGAGGCCGATGAGGCCGATGGAGCCGCTGGAGCCGATGGAGCCGCTGGAGCCGATGAGGCCGATGAGGCCGATGAGGCCGATGAGGCCGATGAGGCCGATGGGGCCGATGAGCCGCTGGAGCCGATGGAGCCGCTGGAGCCGACGAGGCCGATGAGGCCGATGAGGCCGATGAGGCCGATGAGGCCGATGAGGCCGCTGAGGTCGCTGAGGCCGATGAGGCCGATGGAGCCGATGAGGCCGATGAGGCCGATGAGGCCGATGAGGCCGATGGAGCCGATGAGGCCGATGAGGCCGCTGAGGTCGCTGAGGAGGCCGATGAGGCCGATGAGGCCGATGGAGCCGATGAGGCCGATGAGGCCGATGAGGCCGATGAGGCCGATGAGCCGCTGGAGCCGATGGAGCCGCTGGAGCCGATGAGGCCGATGAGGCCGATGAGGCCGATGAGGCCGATGAGGCCGATGAGGCCGATGAGGCCGATGGAGCCGATGAGGCCGATGAGGCCGAGGCCGATGAGGCCGATGAGGTCGCTGAGGCCGATGAGGCCGATGGAGCCGATGAGGCCGATGAGGCCGATGAGGCCGATGAGAGCCGATGATGAGGCCGATGAGGCCGATGAGGCCGATGAGGCCGATGGAGCCGATGGCCGATGAGGCCGATGGAGCCGATGAGGCCGATGAGGCCGATGGAGCCGATGAGGCCGATGAGGCCGATGATGCGGCCGACGATGAGGCCGATGAGGCCGATGAGGCCGATGGAGCCGATGAGGCCGATGAGGCCGATGGAGCCGATGAGGCCGATGAGGCCGATGAGGCCGATGAGGGCGATGCAGCCGATGAGGCCGATGAGGCCGATGAGGCCGATGAGGCCGATGAGGCCGATGGAGCCGATGAGGCCGATGAGGCCGATGAGGCCGATGAGGCCGATGGAGCCGATGAGGCCGATGGAGCCGATGAGGCCGATGAGGCCGATGAGGCCGATGAGGCCGATGAGGCCGATGAAGCCGATGAGGCCGATGAGGCCGATGGAGCCGCTGGAGCCGATGAGGCCGATGAAGCCGATGGAGCCGCTGGGGCCGCTGAGGCCGATGGAGTCGCTGGAGCCGATGAGGCTGCTGAGCCGCTGGCGCCAGTGCGACCGATGAGGCCGATGAGGCCGCTGGAGCCGATGAGGCCGATGAGGCTGATGAGGCCAGTGCGGCCGATGGGGCGGATGAGGCCGCTGGAGCTGATGAGGCCGATGAGGCTGATGAGGCCGGTGGAGCTGATGGAGCCGCTGGAGTCGATGGAGCCGATGAGGCCGATGAGGCCGATGGAGCCGATGCATGAGGCCGATGGAGCCGCTGGAGCCGATGAGGCCAATGAGGCCGCTCAAGCCGCTGGAGCCGATCAGGAGTAAATGAATAGATTATGTTACATGGTGTTGTTTTGTATTGGTTGCTGTTGTTGTTTTAAATGGAGTATAGTGAGGAGGGGGACCTTTTTAGTGCTATTTTCGATTTGCACAAGACCACCACTCTGCTGTCGACTTCATGCCGCCAAAGCAACCTTAAGCCTTTATAAATGCTTCTTGGCACAGAAGTGTCCGATTGAGAGGTTTCCCTACGCCTAGAAATATACCCTACACAATAAAGTCACAATTTGCATTGTTCTTTGAATCAAAAAGCATATCTTATATCTATGTTTTCATGGATTAATCTGTTTGTACATATCGAAAGACACGCTACCATGACCACGGCCGGATTTCCTGCAATCACGGTGGTGACGACTTATTCTGCACTAGCTATCTCTTTTGTGCTCCCACTTGCCCGTGCACTATTCGCAGGGCGCATATTTTTGGATCAAACAGATCAACCAACATGAGAAGGCAAAGGATGCATAAAACATTGTAATTAATCGAAGCGTGAAAAGGGGAACGATGCATAAAACAATATATGATATTTCTCTCCACGAGTTGTAGAGAACACAGATCCGCTTCTCTACCATTGGCACAAAGCCGACTTAATTTACTGCCTTGAGACACCCGCAGCCTGCGCGGCGCATGCTGGGAGGCAAGGGACGCTTCTGGGTCATGTCTGCGCCCGTTTTTTTCAATGACCACAAAAATCAACACCACTGGTCCGCCTATCCAAGCCAGAAGCTGATGCAATGTTCCAGGTTAACGCTAGCCTTTCACTTTCACAGATATGATTTCTGCACATGTACAATTTTCTGTTTCACGCATGACAGCCGGACTTATCGCCACAGATGTGGCTTCGCAGGTGGCCACTGCGACGCCTCTTCTTCTCAAGGTCCATTCTTGGCACCGCTTCGATGCTGTGGCCGTGCCACACATGTTTTTCTTCATGAACGCCTCAGAACCCTGGATATTATCCTTGTCATGCGCTGGATCTCTCTCTCTCTCTCTATGTACATTGGTTTATATATATATATATAGATAGATAGATAGATAGATAGATAGATAGATAGATACCATGTATATATGTAGAAATAGATATGGACATTTTAGGAAACGATCTTGCATCCAAAAAAGACCTTCTATTAAGGACCACAGCTCATGTGATTTGCATTTCCTGCAGCTGAGCTTCATGTCTTTACAGCATAAAGGATGTTACCTTACCTCAATACTTTTTCCCCTTTCTGATTGGAATCATGGGAAAAGTCATTGAAACCGCTTTCGGCATACGGCATACGCTTCCTTTCGAAATGATACATGTTCACATGTTCAGCAGCACAGCGCTGTGATTACATGGCATGCACAAAAAACAAGTTCCTTACTTCTTCGCTGTTTGCTATACGGTGACTTTCAAACATTTTGGAAGCATAGCTGGGCTTCACTTTGCGGTCGAACCATGTCAAACTTTCAGTCAAGTTAGGGCCACCACACGCTTTTTGCAAGGCCTCACCGAAGCGCTGTCCCAACTTGTTGCAGAGCACATGGCGCAAGCAGATGAAGGCGCGGATACAACCTTTCCGCATCAAGATGCCCCAACATAAAGAAATCGTATTTTTTTCTGCCACTCACCAGGCATTCCCGGAGAGGAAAGCGTGCGTGCACTTCCGCAAAAAAATGGAAAATTGGATGATGAAGCATGGACAAGCGCGAGCACTCCTCGACATCAATCCGCCCGAAATGCCCGACTTCCAGCAAGCACCTCCCAGTCAATGTCATTTCCATGCTGCATCGGTTCCGGCAGCAGTCTCACAGCATGGTCCTGATGAGCCATCTATTCTTCGGCATTGGAGCCCGGAATGGCTTCCTCGACTGTTCGAAGATGCAAGCCATCTGAAAATCCAGAAAGATGTATGCCAACGCCCCGCCACAATGGCAGAAGAAACCATAGCATTCTGAGACCGAGTCGATCAATCCTTTGGTTGGAAAAGCAAAGTTCTGGACGATCAGCAGAAGTCTTATAGAGCAGCAGCTCAGGCCACGCTGCTGCCACTTGCATGCATGCGGATTCTATCGGGTGGTGTTGCGTGTATCAACGGCTTCCCACGCCCAACGAAAACCCATATTTGTGCCCCGTAAAAACATGTCCCTAACAATGGGCCCATGTACGTCACAGCGAAGTATCGGAGCAAAACCGAAGGACCCACATAAGTTTCATAAGCTGTGCTTTGGAGCTTCGGTGCTGGTGCTGCTGCAGGGTGCAGACTGCGCGTTTGGAGCCTGGGTGCTGGTGCCGCTGCAGGTGGCTGCTGCTGCATCGCGACTGCGCGCTTTGGATGCTGTGTGCTGGTGCCAATACTGCATGTGTCTGGCGATGATAAACGTCTTTGCCTATGCCGAAAAACAAGGTTTCGTTGCTATTTGAGGATATTTGAGGTCTATCCTAACCAAAACACATAAGTTGCAAGAACATGCAAGAACACAACCTGCTTGGAAATCCTCTGCGCAACTGCTAGGGCACCCCATTCTTAATGCGAGATTCAAACAAATTGGGCATGACAGGATGGGCGCAATGCATCCCTCTTGGACTGGCAGGGTAGGAAGCCAGTGTACCAGAGACAAGCAACGGCAGCTATGGAACAGTAACAGGTGAGGTTAAGCATCATCGCAACTGCAGCAGCAGGACCTTCTATGTAGATCTGTAAAGAGGAGCTCAAAAGATCTTCATACAAGAAATTCCTACGCGCATCCCAAGCCAATTCCAAAGCTTCGATAAACGACAGCCTACCGGTATCACCCACATTCCTTGTTTCGACAAGTCTAACGATTGAGCCAGATTTACCCTCCCAAAGAAGCTTCTCTGTAGAGGCCCATCATAGTCAAAGTCACATTGGTTCATGGCATGACGCAATTCTCACAAACAACCCTTCTGCCTTCCGCCAAGGTTGTTGGACACAAGCCCGGACGATGGCAAGTCGGAGCTACTCCACTGCAAACTCTTCGCCTTGGTTGCTGGGGATCTCTACCGCAGTCATGGGGGCCAACTCTTCGAATACAACAATGGCGCATGGGCGCCGGCCTCTCGTGGCCTGACATCTGTGAACCTTGAATTCGTCCTCCAGGCCCTTCGTAGAGCTCAGGCGTATTATTCCATAATGGCCCAGATGAAGCCGAAGAGATGTTATGATGACATTGTCTTCGAGATCAAAGCCATCCAGCAAGTGGGTATGGAGGAGGTTCTCTTGCAATGGCAACTTCAGGATATCATTCAGAGGAAACCTGAAGTCAGAGCACGTGAGTGGCTCTGTGGCCTGTCTGAGCTTTGTCGGACGCTCCGGCACCAATTTGCGGAGCATTCAAGGACATCAAGACTCCCCAAATCATCCCCACGAAGAAGAAATAGAACATGTTCAACCACTCGCAATTTTTGTCCTACTCCCCCTCGTCTAGTTGAGCTTCCCATCCTGTAAGCTTGGCGCCAGGACCATCGTGAAATGCTTCCAACGTTGGGGCGATGAAGAAATACGGGTCAAACAGCAACCAGGGCTCTGCTTCCAGGATGCATTCATCTCGACTGTGGATGGCAACCCGAAACAAATGCAGAAAGATGCCCGTCATGGTTGTTACATAGCCATCCCTACTCCCATCGCCTTTGTGCCCAGCATGGCCACCAGACAGCGATACGCCAGCATCCTCTTGTCTTCTTTTGCAGGCTCAGATGGATTGCAAGTGCTGCTCAACCAATGTGCTCTGGTTGTGGCCCGTGTCCGGCAGCCTGACATCTTGCACATTGTTGTTGGATGTGGACATGACGGCAAAACTTTGATTTTTGTCGATCACTTGCAAGCTGTCTTTGGCAGTGCCTTCAGTTGCGCTCCGTGCGGCATGCTGCAATCGGAGCGAGAATTCCAAGTCCAAGGTGCCAATTTCATACATGCAGCCTTCCTCACCTTTGATGAATGCAAAAGAGATTCAGGAATCATGGAGGATATCGTCAAATGTGTTCGTCGGAGGTGGCTGGCTACCTCTCCGCAGAAACCACGAAGCAGAGACTAGATACGGGCATTGGGCATGCACTGGCAAAGTCTGGGCAATGAATTCCGGTGACATCCCTCGTGTTCCAACGGCGGAAGAGGTTTCCCATCAAAGGCGGTTCCGCTGCACCTACATGCGGTCCACATTCACAGCCTTGGAGGAGGAAGTTGACATCCCCAACAAAGTCTTCCATGCCGACCCAGGGGCCAAGTCCTTTATGTCTTCTGGCGAAGCAGTGTGGTGCTTCTTCCAAGATTTCCTTTTCCCTCATCTTCGGGCAAACGGTGTGCAAACATGCAGTGACAACCTGGAGTACATGAGGAAAGGCACGAGCATGCACAAAGATACCCACTGGTTGCTGAGGAAGATGAACCGCACCACTGACTGCATCCATCCAGACACAGCCCAAGGCCTTGAAGCCCAGAATGAAAGACCTGGTGAAGCTCCTGCGGCGACTTTGCCTGAGCGCATTGTCCGGGAGACTCACGCCTCCATCCACGCCCAATTCTTCTCCGCAGCGTCTGCCTTAGTATACATCCGCCAATTTGCTGTCCATTGGTAGAACAATGTAAATTCTCTTCCGACAGTCAAACTCCTGGAGTACAGTTCTTTTTTTAACATACCCCTCGCCGCCCGGCCCATAGAAGATTTTATTTGTTCGCTTTGCCTTAAACGCATGCTATGCCATACTATGCCTTTCCTTTTGCCGAGGCAGACATCAACCGGATTGTTGTGCCTTCCAATCCGGGCTCTGCTCCTCCAAGACGGCCTGGGAAGAAACTACGGGTGGAATATTTGAAGGATTCTTTGCAGCAGTTTCCTCACTTGATCCGCTTGGTCGACGGTCTCCAACGTGCAGGAGCCCCCTTGGACCGCTTTGAGCGCTGGTGCCTTGATGCTGACAGTTGGCACCAGTGCCTCCAAACATGCCTAGAAAGCCAGAACATCCCGGAAGTGGTTGGAACATGGAATGATTGGCTCTGGCCCAGCGCTGCGGAAGCGCTGCGGAAGCTTCAGCCTACAACACCGATGAGACACCAGGGTTTCCCCGAGGAGACGCTTGGGAAGTTTCCTGCCGGATGGATGTTGCTGGCTTGAAAGAGTTTGCGGAGATGGTCCCTGGTGATAAAGGAGAACACGCACGCCTACTTGCAGAGCTTTGTGAAAGAGAAGGCACAATCGAGGGTGACGTGACCATCCTTTCCACATTGGGGCACCAGAAGAAAGTCGCTGGCGCATCCTTGGGGCGTGTTTTCTTCCCCTGGATCAGCTTTCCAAATTTGTCTCGTTCCGCCCGAGACTTTGGAAGCCCGCCTGGAACCAAGGAGTTTGATATGCCCAATGCAGTGGTTCACTTTGCATTGGTCTGGGCAAAGGAATATGGGCTCGACCTGCCTTGCTTCCAACGCTACCATGCAAACAAAGGGACATGGCGGAAGATCGTCATGCAGTGGTTTGCCCTTGCCGAGCAGGATGCAAAGAAGGCCCTGTTGCAGGCTTGCTTTGGTTTTGCTTTCCCATCGCGTGCGAGTGGCAAACCTGTGATTTGCCCATTGCTTGAAGGCTTAGCAGCAGATGCCATGAGGCTGAGGGCCACCATGTGCGAAAGGCACCCTAGCTTGCTGGCAGCCATGCGGGCAGCTGGCCGACCGAGACCAGAGACTTCCACCATGGCTTTCCTGCTCTTTGACAAGGAAAACCAGACCATGCAAGCATTCTGCAAATTACTGCCAAAGTATGGGTTTGCTTTGGTTGCACCTGTCTTTGATGCAGTGCTGGCCGTGCCACAGAGCAGAACAGAGGAAGATGGCACTGAGAGGGCGCCAAATCAAGATGCTTTGCTCAATGATTCTCGCGACAGCACAGGAATCACGATGCAGGTCAAAACATTGAGCCGCACCAGGCCACAGGCGACTGTGCCGAACATATTGCGCGAACTCTTGTCCAACAACATGGCCATCCGTATGGACCCGGTCCAGCGCCTACCTGGGCGCTTCTCATGCATTGGCACTGCTCTCCTGAACCTGTTTCCAGACGAAGCCAATGGTATCAAAGAAGCAACCTCCAATTTGAGCAGCCCGATCTCCTACCACCACACCATGGAGATTTGCCCCAATGTTCTCATTGAACCAACTTCGTTCGATCAAGCCACTCAAAGCGGTGACGGGACATGTTTCCTGGTCCATGCGTCAAACACTTGGGATGCTGACGTTGGTCATGCATATGGTGTGAAAATGGTGGAGGCTACCGCCCAGATCTACACCTCGACAGAGGAGGAGTACATCCAAACCAACATGCAATTGCTCTGGCAGAAGCTAGCAAAGACACCAGGCACGTACATCTTCAAAATCTCCATTATCAGTCAGAATGGGGAACCACAGGCCAAGCGTCGCAAAAAAGATGCGGCGTCGACGACTTCAGTTGAACTTCTTTTGAAAGCCGGTGTGGTGGAGGCTGAGGAGACTTTGCGCCCGGTCATGCCACAAGTTCGAGAGCGCATGTCTAAGGAGGTTTCCCAGGAACTTGCCCGTCCCAAGCTTAGTTACCACAGTTGCAAGGTCAACAGCGTCCATGATACTCCATGATGTGAAATTTCTTGTTGTATATGACAAACTTTTCCTCTTTGCTAGTCGCTGGCCTTTTCAGACGTTACCCCAAAAAGGCATCACGACAGCAGGAAGCGTCGAGGAAAGTATACGCCCGCCTGTGCAGGATTCATTTCAGAGATAATATGATAATACCAATATCAGCCACCGTAACCTCTAAGCATTTTTGATATCTTAAGTTTCTCAGTTCAGGTTTGCAGCGCGAAGCTGGTCGATCGAATCCAGAAGCAGCGTATGCTTGTACCATGTGCCCCTTCCGTACATTCAGCCGAAGATCATCCCTCCTCACACATGTCGAAAAATACCACACGGCAGAAAAGGATTTTGTCACCAACAAGCAACAGTTCTATGTCGCATGTGCCATCTTTGAGCAGAAGCAGGCAGGTTCGAACCGCATCTGTTGTAAATACACATGCGCACGTGGACATGCCATGCTTCGTTATCCGCCAGGCCTTACGACCTCTGATACCTGGCTGCCATGCAGAAGATAACCTACTTTCCTTGGCAGCAACCTGCATTCGATCTTGGGCAAAACTGGATGCAGACTCGCTCCGCTACCTCTCCACCCAAAATTTTGTGGACATGGCGTTGATTCTCACTGGCACTGGCCCACAATATGTTCTCAAGCAACAAACAGCACAAGCTCTGCAGATCAACAAGATGCTCTACATTAGCAATGATTTCGCAGATTTGGTGTTGGCCAAGGCAATCAAACACCGAGGCAAAGTCCACACGATGTTCAACGACATCACAAGTGATTGGGTCTCTCGAGGAAGCTCTTGCGCACTGCTTGGTTGCCGCAGAGGAGATACCCGCCAGGCAGTCTTTCAAGAAGTCGTGGCCTTGAAGCCAGTGCGTGACTTGCATGCAGGCTTGGTTGAAGCTGCCACTGAGCGCCAAGAATGGCTTGTTTGCAGTCATGATGCAACATATCAAGTATTGTTCAGCGCCATTGGACAAGTGCCAATGCAACAGAAACAAGGTGAATTCCATGCCCTTCACACGTTTCTTGGCCGGTCGGGCGCTGTGCCTGGCTTCAGCCTTCAGCGCACGGAGGGTCCTGCTCAGTTTCGGGCGGCCATTGCTGAAGTCCTGCCTCAAGCTGCTCGGGACACGGTCAAGTACATCTTCTCTGATAGCCCTACCTCTGTAGAAGGCGCGGCCGAAGTCTTGCCAAACTTGGAAGCTGTCGCAGAAGATGCTTTGCATTTGGTGCTGCGCGTGGAAGCTTGTACTGGAGAGAAGCAGAGAAGCGCACTGCCTTGTCCTCATGCTTGCTCAAGATCCAAACCCGCTTCCGCCTGCCATACGCAGCTCCGTCCTTTCGTGGCCATGCTGTGGAAGACCCTCCTGATGCCGGCAACTGGTCGGACAATCTGATGGACAAAGAAGCTACCGAAACAGATTGGGATAAAAAAGCAGCCACACCATACTGCAACCACCAGGAGTATATCAATGACATCCAAGCCCTTTGCACTGCGTTTCCAGACAACATGGGCCACAAGGACAAGAAAGGGCGCACAATCCGCCAGATCTTGAAGGCCGGGGCTTCCTACACTCATTTTCGCTACTTGTGGAACGGATCGCACATCATCTCTGCACTCCACGACGTGCTGCCACCTGCGGAGCTCCAACTCCTGAGTTTTGGCACGTGCAGCAATGAAGCCTTGCACTTTCAATTGAAAGCTTGCCAAGAGCAAATCATCCAGCAGCACATCCAAACCTTCCCACCACAACTTGCAGCTTTCAGCTTGGCCAAGATGTTGGCCCACCATTCGGCCGCATACTTCCACACCTTGGCACAAAGAAAGGAGTCTGAGATTCTCAGTTTAATGCAAGGCTGCTTGAAAAAGGGTTTTCTGCCAGCTCTTGAGGAAGGGCAGGTACAACCCATTATCAGCAGGCAAGACTTGCGCAAGCCAGTGCGCAGGGTGGATCCTGGGAAGTTGGCCGCAAGAAAAGAAACGGCTGCACAAAAGGCCGTACAATGGAAGAAGGAGAACCGCAACCGACAGCTGAAGAACGGCTGCACAAAAGGCCGTACAATGGAAGAAGGAGAACCGCAACCGACAGCTGAAGAACAAGGAGAAAGTTCAACATAAAGGCGCCTTCAAGCGCACCGTCTTTACTCAACAGAAGTGCCTTGGCAGGCTTACATGCACAGACCCGCAATCCACACTTATCCGTCCTGCACAATTTGCTGTCACTATAGCTTTGTCACTGGTGCCTTTCCGTTGCATGCATTACTGCCTCATCCGCAATATCGGCCAAGTCTTCTTTAAATTCAATCGTCTGTCGCGTGCTCTCCCGAATAAATTGCATGCCTGGCCAATGCGCAATGTGTTTCTTAAAACTTTTTTATTGTGCTCCCACCAGTACGCACATAGTTTAGCAACAAACCATCCAGCTGCAGATGGTCCCTACCTTGATGTCGTGGCCCTTCTACACATTCAAATACCCCAAAGATAAATTGCACCTGCACCGCTAGCAGCCCCAATAGCATAGCCATTTTCATTAAACCGTAAACTCAATCTGCCCCGCGAGCCTGCCTACTTGATCACGTTCTCCTACCACGCCAACAGTAACTTTCCCTGCGCCCCATGTTGAAATAAATCAAAAACATGCGTTTTAATTTTACGGTAACCAATGGTAACCAAAGTACATCAAAGTATGCAGCAACAAAAGGCCACGGGCCCCTAGCGCGTATACCTCGGACAACGGAACTATAGCAAAAACTCGAGGCAGATGGAGGCATTCAAATCGTAGCGCGCATATGTTCGATGAGTGCAATTAAGACAACCTGAAAGGATCAGCCACTTTATCCTCCACGTGCGTGCCACTAAACAGCTTCTGATCCACTTGCCACTTCTGCCCCTGCGCTGCAGTAACAACATCAAGCCACAACAGGCCGGAGCTGGGCCGCTGTCCACCCTCGCCAGTGGCGGCGGCGCCCTTGAGAACTTTCCTTCCAGCGCCCGCCGTCCGGAGCTGGGGGTCAAGCCCTCGCCAGTGCCTGGGGTGGATAAATAAAGAGAAAAAGAAAAAGAGAGAGAGAGAGAGAGAAAAAAAGATACAGAAAGTGAGAAACAAACATCTTGCATGCCAGATCGCGATCGCGAGACCATTACGCCGAGATTCCGCATGTCCACTCCGTACCAGAACTTTGATGCGCAATGTCCAGCATGATTTTCGTGTTGTGATTGCAGACTTGATCCGAAGCTACAAAGCAAGCTGTGCTTGCATGGGTTTGATGTGCATTGTCAAGGCATATCTGCTCTTGTTGGCTGTCATTGGATATAGAAAGCTATATAAGATGCTGTGTCTTTGTTTGTTGTTGCTATACGTGGATCTGTTCATATTTAATTATTTAATTTAATCTTTTGTTCGAACGCCATTCCTTTTTCAACAAATCAACACGTGCGGTGCTGCGAGCCAGGCGGCCAAAACGCAGCGCTGCAGCTGAATCTTCGTCAGCTGCGGATGAACTGCGATGAGCTGCCAAGTGGAGTCAATTAATGTGGCATACCAACTTGAAAAAAAAACAATTGTGCTTTTGGATATTTGGGGCTCTTTTCAACTAATTTGCAGGCGTGCCCACTTGCCAATTCCAAGCGGCTTTAATTAGTTTCCCGTGTGCAAGGTTAAATTAGTGCGAAATTCAGATCGAGGCGGCAAAACATGAATATGATGCTCAAACACGCTCACACACGCTCACACCTGATACACAGCAGCCTTTGTACTTATTGCACATGCATGTACATGTGCATGAAGATTTGACGCTCCAAAATGTCTGTCCATGGAATTATGAATGCTTATACGTGTTTGGGGTCAGAAATTTGGGCGTGAATGCAAGCATCAGGGAAAGAAAGAAAGAGAAGGACACAAATAGAACACCAAAAAGTGAGAGGGAAAGAGGGGCAGTAGCATAAAGAATAAGTCCAAGGCAATAGAAATGTGTATATACTATATATATATATATTTACATGTATACATATTTACATATATATATACTTATACACATATATAAATATATAGTTACATAAATACATAATGTATAGTCTCGGTATCGTATCTATAGTTCTAGATATACGGCTGCAATGCTTCCTTTCTGCGACCAAGTTAAAGTTACACACATGGGCAACGGAAGCCCGGTGAATAGTATGAACCAGGCGCGCCAAAGTGCAAAGCACCCATGCTCTGAAAGTGGTGCTTGGCGCCGGAGATAAATCCTACGCGGTATTGCCAATATAAAGGGAGTTGCAGGTTACAGCTACATGTATCGAGACACCCCAACCCATTCCACCCTGCTTACATGCACAAGAAGTTGTGCCGCAAAATCGACGCCAACCGTCAATGGCCCGGGGGCCCCCCCCCCCATTCGATTCCCCCCTGGTCCGCATCTCTTTCTTTCTTTTTCTCTGACTATGTACTTACCTCCTTATCCATCTATCTATCCATGTATCTATCTATTTAGTTGTCTATCTATGTATCTATTTATCTATCTATCCTTCTATGTATCTATCTATCTACCTATCGATCTATCTATCTATCTATCTATCTTTTTATCGATCTATTTAGCTATCGATCTATCTATTTATCGATCGATGCTTCTATCTGTCTATCTATCTATCTATCCATCTATTTGTTTATTTATCTATCTATCTATCTATCAATCTATCTATCTATCTATCTATCTCTCTATCTATATATCTATCATACATACATACATACATACATGCATGCATGCATGCATGCATACATACATACATACATACACACAGACATACGCACATACATACATACATACATACATACACATACATACATACATACATACATACATACACATACATACATACATACACACATACACACATATGCAGATACGCACATACACACATACATACATACATACAGACATACATGATGTAACATAACATAACATTATATGACTTAGTGTGACATACAACATACATACATACACATACATACATACAGACATACATGATGTAACATAACATAACATTACACGACTTAATGTGACATAACATTACATCACATTACATAACATTACATACATACATACATACATACATACATAAATACATACATACATACATACAGACAGACAGACAGACAGACATATTTACAAACATACATGGATACAAAGGAGTTATCTGGTTAGTGGCCATAGTCAACTGGCCCCATGGTCTGCAACATACACCTAGAATCCTTTCTCGGGCATTGTAGAAGGAAAAAAAAATTACGACCGAGTTTTTCTACTCCGCTCACAAACTCGGTCGTAATTCTGTGGGGCATTTGTTGGCTCTGAATTCGTCACAGCCAAGCAAGAAAGCAACACTGGACACGTCATACCACTTATAATGTTTCATAGCTCTGGTTTACTAAGTCATCCAAATGGACTGTCGTCTATGTACTTGGCTTACACCCCCAGTTACCCCAGACTGGCTCCATTTCATTTCAAATTGGCCATTTCATTGCAAACTGGCTCCATTCCATGGATGAAATTTCCCTTTCTCATGGGAATCCACGGCAAAACAACCCTGTGGATGAAATGTCTCCTTTTCACCCGCCTGCGCTTATGCCCGCCGGGCATAAGAACAGGCAGGCCCTTCATCGAACAGGTTTTGGGCCTAAAATGATGAAAAAACAGCCTTTACCCTGCCAAACCTGCGCTGCCAAAGCCCCGCCTGCGCTTACGCCCGGCGGGCATAAGAACAGGCAGGCACCCAGGCCTGGACCAGGCCCTTGCAAGATGATTCCAAGATATGTAGGCCCAACATAGCTGACATGGACGTACTTGGGGCCAGCAAGTCAAAAGCCAACAAAAAGCAACATACGCGCAACAATGGCACAACAAACCTGCAAGATGACCTGACATGGGGCTCAACAAGCGTCTGAAAAGTGGACGACATGGACGAAATTGAGCTCATGTTTGGTCCAGAAATGTGTACTTTCTGTGTTCTTGGAATAGGCAATTTTTTCCGAATCTGTTTCCTAGAAGATGAAATAAACGCAGCATAGAGCCAACATAGAGGGAAGATGGCCTGACATGGGATCAATTAGCTTTCAACAAATGCCACAAAGCGTCAGCATAAGCCTGGCATAGGCCCAACATGGCCGCAAGATGGAATGGCACAGGGTCAATAAGGGTTCAACAAGCACCTAAAAAAACCAACAAAGGCAAGATGGACGCTTTTAAGGCTTGATTTTCCTCGTTGTGTGACAATGAATCCAGTAATTACTCTGTTCAATCAGCCACACCAGTAAGTACACCACCTAAAAAAGAAAAGTGGAACAATCACAAGCACACACTAGACAAGAATGGATCATTATATGATCCGGCAGGAACTGAATCCTGAAACATGCAGATTAGATCCGAAAAATTGAAATTAACAATGCAGGTACGTTTACACGGGTCCCGGGGGGGTGTCTTCGGTGGCCACCGACCCCCCCGGGACCCCGGTGGCCCCCTGCATTGCAATTAGAGTTAGAAAGGGAGAGGACAAAGGAAGAAAAAAGAGAGAAGTTTTACATCTATTTAGATGTTACACACACACACCCGGCCGGAGCCGGGTCAACCCTGAAAGGCAAGAGGAAGAAAAAAGCGGACACACGACGGGCAGACGGCCAAAACAGCGCAGGGGGGGGAGGGGAACAGACGGACCTCCAGAACCAACCTACACGGCGAAACGGACCTGACAAAAACAGCGCACACACCTAAACCCAACAACACGTTACGGAGAGGCACGCGGGGAAAGATTAGGGACCAATGGGGAACTAGTTGATGCCAGACAAAAACCAAAACAATTAATTAAAAAACAGGACCCAGTTCCTAGACCTACTGTTCGTGCGATTGTTCCCTGCACCGGGACCGTGGTCAAGTCTTGCCCCTATTGGCATAAAACAGCTTTCAAGTTCCATCGAATTAGATGCACAATATGTTTCACCTCACCAGACAACCATGAAAAGAAAGAAGACCACACCTGAAAGTCGTGTACCTGCCTGCGTTCTGTCTCATGTAATGTAACTGCAAAGGTTGCTGCGAAAAAAGGAGGTTTCTGAATGTTCAGAACAGCTT